ATTGTTCATAGGCTATATCTATTAAAATACTGATATTCTGGTCTATAACTCCTCCCCAACTTCCCGCTGCCCTGTATCTTGGTCTCTCATTGGCTGTAGGTCATCGCCGATGTAGTTTTCAGTCAGAAATCATTTCACACAGCGTGATTGTGAATCGCCTACAGCTCCAGATATCTAGCATGCCAAATATTTCGCGGGTGACACATTTAATTTATAATTTGTCTTAAATCTCATTTTATAAAAAATAAAATCAAAATCGTGAATCGAATCGAGAGTTGAGTGAATCGTTACATCCCTAAATACGATTATAAATATAAAACTTCTATAAATATAAAAATTATTAGATATTAATCATTCTATGAAATATACTTTTTAAAATAAAATATCTTAATATAGTGCAATACTCTATACAATGACAATTTCCAACTAGTAAAAATCATTTAAAACTTACTTCTGACTGCCAGCAAAATGTCCCTATTACTGACCTCATGTTCACAACTCACCTGCCTGTGTAATGTAAACTCTGCATCTGGTTTGCCAGGTAATGCGGAAGTTCCCAGGCCACCTCATTGGTCTGAGTATTCCAGTAGTAATAACAGCCGGTATTTTCATCCCACACCTCCTGCCAATCACCCATCTCCAACCCAGCTACAACATCCCCAAACACGAGAATACAAGTATTAACTTCCTCATTCTTTCATTTAGTTTGAGATTTATGTACAAAACAGAACCAGTCGACTAGAAAGCTCACCCCCTGCGAGGGAGTACTGTGTGTTGTATTGAAATTCCTGTGCGGGTCCGTTCTGATCATGAGTCTGCTGGTCTGTTTTCGGTTCGGGGCGAGGAGGAGTTGGGGCTGGTGCGCTCGGCTCTGTCTCAGATTCAGTTGTATGGGTTGGTTGGGTCGTAATTGCATCAATTTCCTTTAAGGAAAACATACAATAACCCATATCAAAATTACAGACAGATTTTTAGTATAAACTGTGCACAAATCGATATGTCTGGTCTTAAGTACCTCATGATTTCACTTACCGCCATAAAATTGGCAAGTGTGCTGTCAATATCTGCGGACTGGTTATGCTTTGCCTTCGTGGCAGTCGAGGTGTTTTCTGCTGCATCTTCTTCTTCACTGTCTTCGTACGCTCCAAGCAGAGATAAACCCTCTACAAAGAAAATACATAAAAGGTCAAATTTAATCAAATGTAGTTCAGATGACATTCTTTAAACTATACAATAGCATATTTAAAAAAAATACATATGTATATAAAGATAACAAAAACATATTACACAAATGTCCTTCAAAGGAACAATAGTTTATATACCAAAACATCTTGTCAGGTATATTTAGAACAAGAATCATCAGATGTCATTTAAAGACTATTTAAGGATCACAGTGCAGCCCCCCAAAATACTAATTAATTGTCATTTTAAATCTTTACCAATCTTTGCCACTATCCTTCAAACCACTAGGTTTTACACATTTGTCAGCAAGAAGTTTTTAAATCATTTAAAATACAATAAAATGTAGTATTATCACTTTTAAGTACAGGTCAGAATAAGCATGTTGTTTCATTTTTACATAAATATCTCTGTTACGCTGAATGATGATGAAAAATAGCAATAAAGGTAAAATAATAAGTTTACAAATACATAAACTTTCTATTCATGAATTAATTGATGAACGATTCTATTCAAAATGTACCACAGTTTCCACAAAAATAAGTGAATAAACATTTTATGATAATTAAAAGTAATAAAAATATTAAATATGTTATGAATATATATATATATATACACACATACATACACACACACACAGAGAGAGAGACTAATTTATTATACATGTTATTCATTACGTATATACAGTATATATTAGGTAGTGCTAACAATCTGGTATAACTTACGTGTGGCCTTCACAGCTGGTGTCTTCATTACTACATTAACTTCTCTCTGACCATCTGTGTTACCCTCAGGTTCGTCTACAAAACGAAACAGACAGTTTGTAACGTTTTTAAAACATTTATAACAAAGTTATCCTTGCTGATCCGGTGCGGGTGAATTAGCATGTTTAGCTAACGCTTTGTCTGAAGCCCAGTGAAGCCTCGCTGCTAACTCCAAATTGTGTTTATAAATGACTTAAATAACAAACACTTCTCTTTAATATATCAAAGTAAATCATTACGGACGATTTTATGTTGTTTATATCATAACCAGTTTGACAAGCTATATCAGCACGCATATTTTTCGGTTAATCTGTAAATTACCGGTGGCTAACGCTAAACTTGACAAACGGCGCTTCAAAAGATATTAACTGAACCACACAGTCTGTATCGGTTTATTAAAACGCGTTAATTTATAGCAAAAACGGTATAAATGTAATATTTTTATTATGATTAGCCAAATATCACAGCTGACTAGCAAATTTACTAAGCAAACTCGTTTTCCACTCGCTGTAGAAGCGCGTTTCTCTTAAAATGGTTCGTCTTGCTCCATATTTTGTGCATCTGATTATACCGACGCGTTTGTCTCTCTCGCCCACCTTCGGATCCCGAGCCGACACCGTCCTCTCTGGCTGCTCCTGTAGCGCTGCGGGTCGGTCCCGGCGGTGAAAGCTGTAATATGGTTCTCCTGCCGGTGCCTGTGCGAGTCTTCTTCCCCATCGTGGCTGTTAATATCGAAGCTCCGCTCTCAATCACAGCCCTGCGTCAAACTGATCGCTCCTTGCTTTCCAAATGGCTGATTGACTTCTTGTCCTTCAAAATAAAAGTTATTACGTAACGTCAGCGCTCCGTCTTTCTTCAAAACAAATGTTGTAACAGTGGGATACAGTGAAAATGTATTTAATCCTAAAATCTTCGCTTGTGTCTTATTGTATACTTATGATGTATTTAAAGGAAAATAAGGACTTGAAATTTGTAATGTTGTGCAAATCTGCTAATAATTCTAAAAAAAAAATGTATTTAAATTATTATTATTATTATTGTTGTTGTTGTACATCAGCGGTTTGATATGGTCTTTTCAATTCTTTAAAATTATTTTTATACTATACCCTAAAACTATTATTTTCTTAATAATAATAATTTATAAAACTTGTCTTTGATTTAAATTTTTCCACATATTATTGTTATTATTATTATTATATATTTCAGCGGTTTGATTTGGTCTTTTATATTTTTTAAATATTGTTTTATACTATTATTATTTTGTTTATAATAATAATAATATAGTTTGTTGGATACATTGAAATTATTTTCACGTATGTACATTTACTATTAATTCATGTTTTATGTTGCACTTATACTATTAAGTGCAGCTCGTGTATTTGCAAGGTTTATATGCTAGCAAAATGTACATAATTTCAAGCAAAATTTGATTGCTTCTAATTATTTGTCATCCTCTGTTGACTTGTTCACACATTTTGAACCTGTGAATCCAGTGAACAGAGTCCTGCAGGACTTCATATTACAAAGCAGGAACGCTAGAGTATGATTAAAACCTATTAAGAGTCTTACATCAAAATGGAGACCCAAATCTGTTACAGAAAATCTGCATTATTTATGAACAGGGGCACATTGTTAGAATTTCACCATTTATCACTGACACGGCCAACTGAACAGATTCACTGAACGGACATGGAAAACGTATAAATCTGAATGAATTACCAAATCCCTGACTGAGATGTGAAATTACTTTCTGCAGAAAAGTTTTATGCTGCGATTTTGTGAAAACAAAATGACAGTCCTAAAATGTGTCTTTTTTCGAGGCGATCTTTCCAATACTATGGAGTACCATAAATAACGTCACAACAAGAAAGAAAGACAGAAAGACAAAATGAAAGAAAGAAAGCATTTTGGCTTACTTCATATCAAGAAAATCGGTTCCCTTTAATTACATAAGCATCTGTGTTACAAATAGGCAGAAAAGATGATGTGTAAATTACTATAAATATTTCATATTTTAATTCTTAAATATAAATATTTTAATTCTAATATCTAATATATGTTCTAATTGTTTATTCTGAATATCATTAATTATATTATTGAAATATTTAATTTAAAATCATTTCTATTCTACTTCAAAAATCTACTATAAAACAATAAACTATGTATGTGACCCTGGACCACAAAACCAGTCTTAAAGGCAGAGTAAGTGATTTTTCAAAAACACTTCAGAAAACTGATACGGGCCGAATCGCAAAACAAACTTGTAGCCAATCAGCAATAAGGGGCGTGTCTACTCGTGATGTGGAGGAGAG